GGCAGGCCCAATCCCTAGGTGCAGCCCCTGGTCGGGCTCAGAGCAGGGCCGATTGGGGAGTTGGGGCGCCGCCCCCTGTCATGCACAGAGCAGGGCGGATCGGGAGGTTGCGATGCCACCCTCAGTCACGCTCAGGGTAGGGCCGATTGGGGGGTTGGGGCACCGCGTCCTGTCACACTCAAGGCAGGGTCAATGAGGAGGTTGCAGCGCCACCCCCTGTCACGCACAGAGCAGGGCCAATCAGGGGGCTGGGCGCAGCCCCCTGTCACCCACAGAGCAGGGCCAATCGGGGGGTTGGGGCGCCACCACTTTCACACTCAGGACAGGGCTGATGGGGAGGTTATGGCTCTACCCCGTCACACACAGAGCAGGGCCCGTGGGGGTGGGGGGGGTTGGGGCGCCTTCCCCTGTCACGAACAGAGCAGGGTGGATAGGGAGGTTGTGGCCCCGCCCACTGTCACACACAGAGCTGCAGGGCAATCAGGGGGTTTGGGCGCTGCCCCCTGTCACGCTGATCCCTGTGCCGGGAGGCTTCTCGGCTCCGCTGATCCCGGTCCTGGGAGGCATATTACCTTTTTACTATATAGGGTAGAGGCCTGGTGCATGGGTGGGTGCCAGTTGGTTTGCCCTGAAGGGTGTCCTGGATCAGGGTGGGGGTCCCCACTGGGGTGCCTGGCCAGTCTGGGTGAGGGGCTGAGGGCTGTTTTCAGGCTGGGGGTGACGGAATCTCCCAACTGCTCCTTTTTTTCTTTGTCTTATTTTATTCTGGGCCAGCTTTAGCTTTGAGGCTTGGCTCCAGCTCTTAGGCCTCTGCTGCTGAAAGTAGGTTTCTGGCCTTTGCATACAATGTTGTGATCCGGCTGGCTGAAGCCCGGGACTAAAGCTGGTTTCTGGGGTTTTGTTTAGCTTCTATGTCTGTTACATAGTTTCTTAAACTGCAGGCTCGAATTCAAATTAATCCTGAAAAAGGGAACCGACAACATCCAGAACCACAGGAGGGCTGGCTGAGTGGGAATTCTACAACTAGGAGTAAAGAGAATATCATATCCAGACTCAGAGGAGGCGCAGTGCTGAAGTGAAATTCTCAGGTGCGGGGTGTGCGGGGAGCGGGGCTGGCGGTGCGGCGCGATTGTTTACAATCGGGAGGGAGCGTCAGACTCTGAGCCCCAGATCCGGGCGAGTCGCTAGGGACGCAGACTCAAACGGGAGAAGCAGGACTGTCTGGCCTTGGTCTGAACTCGAGGGCAGCTTTCTCTCCGAGGTTTGCAGCGGTTGCTGGGACTCTGTGAGGCAGAGCCCCTAGGGACGGAACTGAGAGCAGCCATAACTGCTCGCTCAA